TTATTTCTTAGTGAATTATATTATGTTTTATTAATATGACACACTCCATGACAGACATGTCTTCGCAATCCGAAGTAACGTTATTTGGAATACATATTATGTGTCACATCATATAATATTAATAAAACTTTTTCTTGGTGAATTATATTATGTTTTGTTAAATAAAAATGACCCTTTCCACAGATAATATGCAAATTCGTGAAATAAAAATTTGTTTAGGATTAATATAGCATTAATATATATATACAAAAAATATATTACCATAAAATAAATGGAAAAAAGCCGATCTCGAACTCGAGACTTCCAGCATTCTAGTCGCTCGACTTACTGGCCCGTCCACGCGGCTAAATTGAAAAAACGTGTTATCGATTCGATAGATTTCACACGTGGCTCATTTAAAAATAATTTAATTTCTAAACTAATGTCCATTGGTAAGAGTTGCTGCACCGTTTATTATTGGGGAGGATGTAGAACGATATATTTAAAATTTAGCCAAATCCCAGCATACGGACCTATATCTTCGCCTTGTTAGCTAAAGTGCGATATGTTGTACTTGCAGATATACATTTTAGAGCCTTTCAAAAAATAACGCAACATGTCCAACCTGAAATTTGTCTTGGAAACCGCACTTGGAGTGGTTCCTCTCGACACGTAATTTCGAGGCAGCAAACCTTCCAGGGTATCGACTACAGTCTCAAATCGCGGCTTCGCTGTGCTGGTGCTACTATGATCCAATCTTTTGTCGTTGTAACGCCGTGGTATGAACTTGCTGATGACCGGCGTCTTGGCTGTGCTGGTGAAGCTCCTGCGGGTCGTCGTCGTTGTCGTCGTGCGATCTCGTTCGGCTAGTACATCCAGTTGCAGCGTGTTGCCGGCGCTTCGGAAGCCACCGGTACCAAGGATAGCCGCCGGCAGGAGATCGCTGGACAGCTTGGATTGCGCCCAGTCGAGCTTGTCGATGATACTCTCCGTGGACGGTGGCTGCGACGTCTTCTTGCTGTCGAGCGACCCGCTGTGCGCCTCCACCTGCTCCACGCGATCTATCACCGGAAACGGTAGGAAGCGTGCGCCCGATACGCTGCGACTGGTCTGCACGGAAGCCAGGATCCTCGCGGAGTCCTCCGTGGTCACTTCCGGGTGCTCCTCGGTTGTGTCGGTTAATGAGGACGACAGCGATGACGACGACGACGACGACGATGGCGGCGGCGGCGGCACGACTTGCTCCGTGGTGGCCGGCGAGACTGTCGTCGGCACCGCTATCGTGCCGTTCACCACGCTCTTCGTGGTCACCACGGACACCACGGCACCGCCTATCAGGATGGAACTGACCTCGGCGGAGACATTCTCGGGCTCCTCCTGCTCCTCGAGGAGAGGCGCGCTGAGTGTAGTGAACGTTTTGTCACTACTCTCCATGGACGAGCCTTGCTCCAGCTCCGTCGACGATATCGGATTGGTCTCCTCGACGATTTGCGACGAGTTGGAGGTCGACTCGTGCGAAGCGTCTTTATCTCTCTTCTCCAGAACGCCGTGCTCCGATTCCGATGACGTATTTCCTGGAGTGATATCCTGATCCTCTTCAGATTCCGTATCTACGTAGTCGAGGTGTCCGCCGTCTAAAACGGGGAACCAGGAAGAGATTATATATATATATTTTTTTATTTTACTTCAGCTTAAACCAGGAAGAGATTATGTTCCAAGAAATTGGAAGATTTCAAATAATATCAAAAGAAAGTACACACGTAAGGAAAACTTTTTTTAATATTAAGAGATTAAGAAGAGCCAGACTTTCTAGTTATATCAAATGTTTTAATTGAATGGAAATGTGTGTGTGTGTGTGTGCAAGTCATACATTCTTAGTTTTAGGGACAAACTTTGAGATATGATTGCTGAGATATGATGAGATATGATGAGATTGCGGAATCTGATCATTTTACACTGGCAAAAGACGATATTCTTTCAACGATAACACATCGAAGAAGATCTGCGATCCCCAGTCAGCAAAATGTTAACAGATTGGCAGTAGATTCATCAGAAACTCACGCTAAAACCATAGCCATCTGTGTCCGTATTTAGCTTTTGTTTTGGTAACAGAAACTGTAAAACACGCTGTCAACAGATTGTCCAATTATGTGAGCAGATTTTGTTGTATTTCTGCCGACATGCTGGCAACATGTCGAATATATCAGTTCTTGTATGCAATCTGCAGTTTTTCTGCCTTCAAAATTTCTAGTAGGCATTTGACGAAATCTGTTCTGACAGATTTGGCTATCTTTTACGATATGAAATTAATGCGGAGATGTGCAAATCAAGGATTATAATTACAGTGATTAGGAACGACCGAAACTCACCTCCGCCACCGTCGTATCGGGAACGATTTCCATTTTCGTAGTCGTCGTAATAATAATACGTATTGTCGTCGCTATTTGTCGGGAGATCTTCGAGGTAATCCCCATCCTTGGAAATGTCGATCGCTTCGATATTCGACACGCTGCTGGTTTCCGGCGGAGATCTCTCTTTCTTCGTTGCGCCATTCGTGGTATCAGAGGGATCTTTCTTCTCCTCCTCTACCTCTTCCACCACCTCCTCCTCCTCCTCGACCTCTTCCTCTTCGCGCTTATCTTCATCTTCGTACTCCTCGGAGTCGTACGTCAGCTTAGGCTCCTTTTCCACCACCCCCTCCTCCTCCTCCTCCTCCTCCTCCTCCTGCTCTACCTCCTCGCCATCGCCTCCCTCCTTCGATTTCGATGTGTCCATCACATTGCTCTCCGCCAGCGAATGCGCCAGCGATGCATCGGCCCCGTTGCTGGACGGCGATGCATTTCGGTCTTGCTTCCCGTACACCGAATTCGTTGGTATCAGCTGCGAGAGCTTGTCCCAGGACCGAGCTGTCTCTGAAAATCAATCAGATTTCCAATGTTATTAACGTGAATACGATTGTCGATTTCTTGTTTCAGCATCGCAATCCTTTCCGTCACGGGAAAATATTTTTCACAGAATCTGGTACAGATGTGTTTCTTTTTTTAACAGTGATTTACTCGCGCACGCAGGGATCTGTCTCGCAAGACCGAGTTGCACTGCTTGTAAATCTCGGAAAAAGAAAAGCGAAGGAACGCGCTTTCTAATATTGCTTTCTGTGCTCCGCAACAACATCCGATCTGCGAAAAGAAACGGCCTTAATTTCTTTATCTCGACTTACGAATCGAGGACAGTTCCCTCAGACAGCGGCCATTTTGTGCATCCGCGACAAAACTTGTGGATGATAAATCTCTTACTCTTTACTGATGTATTCTTCTGATTTGCGAGATGGGTATTACGAGCGCTCCTTAGCGACGCACATTGTAAAAATAAAACAACGCGGCGCGACTTTTACTCGCGCTCTTCATTAGTCGCGAGAAATCGCGGCGGTCTTCAGCGGCCGATTTTCGACGGCCGTTTCCGCGCAATTGTTGCTCGGCGCGCGATAATACGACGGCAGTTATCCCAACCGAGGCACAATGCACGACAGAATTATCGTAGCAAGGTGAAAGGCGAAGTATCGCGCATTTCGCCGCGGCGCTGTGCATTTAAAGCCGAGTCGCGCGGGCATAATTTATTAGCGGTTTGCGCAATATACCAGCGGATAAAAATCCCACGGGATGGATATTTACTTCGGTACACGTGTCGAACGGGGCAGCTTGTGGATACGCCTGAACGGAAGATAGAGGGCAGCGAGAAGTAACGTAACGAGCGCGATATTACGTCGCGCGCTATAATAAAGGCACGAGATACACATCAATATGTCAAGACAAGAAAGGAAGGACGAGAGAGAGAGAGAGAGTGAAATAAATCACGTAGTAAATTCTACAGTTTAAAACACGGAGAGAAAAATGTAGCTGCCGCAGCTAAAAACTGCATGTGGCAACTAAAGTTTAGTTGTAAAATATATGGACAGCTAATATTTGGCTGCGATAGCTAAATATTTTGCTACTGTACTGACAACGATGCCTTCTCTCTGATTAGATACCTCGACAAAAAGTCTGCTACGTAGATTACACTTCGTTAACATTTTATGTAGGGAATAAATTATATGATTGTTATTAAGAAAGTCGAAATTATGCTTTGCACACGTGAAAAGACACAACTGATACATTACAAGTTGAATAATTATTTTGCATACACTTCGTGGGTTTCGACTGTGCTCTACTCCTTTGAGAAGAAACCCGGAGAATACCGGCACGAAGACTCGTTTCTTCGCTCTCCATCGCCGCAATTATTTTTCGCAATCGTTACATAATTTCTGATCGGTTATAGATCTCGACGATTGAGACCGAGTCCCTCCTCTCCTCCCTTTTTGTCTCTCTAGCTATTCGTTGGTGAGCACTGAAATAATACGAGCAGCCTCCGGGTGCGCAATTCAATCCCGAAGTCCCTTTGTTGTCCATCGCGGTGGTGCACACGTGTTGTGTTTCAGTGTGTCGTAAGCGTTGTAACTAGAATAGTTCCGTAGGCGTAAACGCGGCGCGATCGGATCGGCACGGGGAGGCCTCGAAAAAAAGTCCGAGGGCGAATATAAATTAAGTCGGGATCGCAAGCCGCTCGCAATTCGAATCGTTTAATCTCGCGAGAGGTTTCTCGCTCGGCCGCGATACGGTCGATTGTCGCCGCGCGGATCTCGAGATAATTGTAATTATCTCGAAATAGCACAACCGGACGATCGTTGTGAATTCCAAAAGGATTCTATCGAGTCTTAAAATGCTCTGTGAATCAGCGTAATCTGTTCGAAACGAATTCAAAAGGATTCTTCTTCGGTAGTTGAAAAAGAATTCCAAAAAATACCTTTTGAATTCTTTCAGAGGTAAACTGTTCTGAATACAAAGGCCCGTATTCTGGATCCTCTTTTATCGATGAAAGCGCCTCGAAAAGTGGCTTGTAGCCAATCAGAAAATTTATTAGCCACTTAAGGCCCGGTTTCACCAACATTGTTTAACTTTAAGCTTAGCTCAATTCGTTCTTTGTCTCTTTCCAACTGCATTATTTTAGAAATGAACAAACGTGAATTAAACTTGTAAGATTAAAATTAAGCGACGTTCGGTGAAACCAGACCTAAAAGTCCGTGAACTTGGTTGGACCAAGTTCTAGCATCATGGACACAGGCCTTTACAGGCGCATTCATCGATAAAAGATGGTTCAGAATACGGGCCGAAGAATTGCTTTTGCTCCCGAAAAAGAATTTGTGACAGAAAAGAGGATTCTTGTTGAACTCCTTAAGAACATTTTCAGAACCGAGATGGAAGCATTTATTTCGGGGATTCAAAAAGAATTCTTTTTCAATTCTCCCGGGTAATCACGTACGCAAGTACTCGCACTCTCTGGAAAGCCGCGCGCGTGATGGAGCGTTAATTGAAACGGCTGTTGAAACCGTTCGCCGATCGCTCCGTGGCAAAGCAGCTAACGTGAATCCGCGAGCGGGACGCGACTTGCGACGCAAACGTTGGAGAACGGGGGCAATTTTCCTCGCGCCGATTTGCGATTTCCGCGCGCGACGGGGGCTCGGAATCTCGCGCTCCCCGACGGAAACCTCTAGCTTTGCAAGCCACTAGCTTGCAAGTCGCGGAGAACTACGCCCGATTTCTCCCTCCGTTTCTTTTTCCTGCCACCGTGTAATCCGTAATAAAATTGAAAAACGGGTTACAAATCCGTGCCCGTGTTATCGCACGCGTGCGCGCATTAATCACGGCGATCGCGCGTTCCGTAACGACCGCCGAAATGATCTACGATCGTCCCCGTCCGCGGAACGATCGCGCGCGTCGCGTTTTTATCGCGCATCGTCGTGAGTTATGCGGCTGCAAATAGCCGGGATAATTATAATTACGGCCGGCCGGCCGATCGCATTCACCACGCTTCACAATCGGTCCGGGATTAATAGATCGGCGCGCACGGGGCGAGTATAAATTAAGGCGGGGTTCCCCGGCGCTACCACGGCCGCGCGGGTTGCATCTTACAAGGTATTTAAGCTCATCCTCCCTCCCCACCCTCTCTCTCTCTCTCTCTCTCTCTCTCTCTCTCTCTCTCTCTCGCTCGCCTCTCGACTCCGTTGATGCATCGCCGCGAATCGATCGCGCACGACCCCGAGGCATCGCTTAGGGCGAAATGCAGGAATGAGGCGTAAAGAAGAAAATGCAACGACGCGCAGTAAAGTGATGATTGTGAGATGCGGCTCCCATCGAGAGGCAAATCTGATTAAAGGATAAATTGGATTAGTAATTCCGTGTCCATCGGAGATTGGCCGGCGCAAACGGAATGGACGAGGAGTCAAGTACAACGTTAATAAACGATAGGGCAGAACTGGCTAGAATATACAAGCGTGCGTATAATAGACAGGCCGGTTCCACGAGCGTGAATGAAATGACTGGCCGAGGCTAATCTCCGTGATAAAATAGCGAAGGTACATAAAATATTCCGCCTCGCGTGAAAACTCGCAATCCTCTCCCATTGTCCGCGCGCCAACGACGCGCAATGCATTTACTATCCTTCGGTACGGCGTTGCCTCAACGTGGGCTTTTAAGGTCGCACGCGGACGCCGCGGCCGAAGAAAAATCCACCTCCGTAAAACGCTAATTACATCTGTGCCGCACGATGATTGCTACCTCGCGGCTGATCGGCGACGCGCATCGACGATCGCTATCTGAGCAGATTCGATCTGCGGGGGACGGATGGACGGCCGCGAAATTCGTGCGTAAATACAAAATGGGAGCAACGCGCTCTCGTCGCACACGCGCGCGCACGGAGGAGGGCCGCAGGATCGGATTAACCGCATCGCTCCTTTTTAATCAGCTGTCCGCGCGAGAATTCATCGCCGCTTCGATCGGACGTGCTTCAATTACCCAATCGTTTCGCAAAAACAGGCCGTTTTCCCTTCCTCCCTCTCCCTCTCTCCCTGTCTCTCCCTGTCTCTTCCTATCACTCCCTGTCTCTTCATCCCATACAGCACGCATGTCTAAAAGACATATTTCAGACATCTTTAAGTCGTCTTTTAGACGTATGTACATATCTAAAAGACGACTTAAAGATGTCTTTTAGACATGCGTGCTATATGCAGTGTTTGCTGTTATCTAAATAAAATTCTATAGATGATTATCTAGATAAAATTTTAGCGTTATCTTATCTTTATATAGATAATAAAAATAAGTATTATCTATATCTGCATCTTAGATGAAAGAAAGTGTTATCTTTACTAAATTATCTAAGATAACGTACAGATTATTTGGTTTAGGGCCACATAAAAATACTTAACAGTTACACTATTTAAATATGGATGGCGTTGTAGACCATGCATTTATGTGTGTGTCATGTATTAACCTGAATATATTTTATATCCCCCTTTACAATTTAAATTTTTCTATAATTTTTTTATAACTTTTTCTACTGTGTTTACATGAAGTCTTAAAAATATTATCTGAAAATTATCTAGATGAATCATCATACATGAAGTCTTAAAATATTATCTGAAAATTATCTAGATGAATCATCATATAATTTTATCTTTTATCTAGATATATTCAAAACAAAATCATCTTTATCTTATCTAAGATAAATTTATATATTTTTATCTTATCTTTATCTAGCTAATTTTAAAATCATCTATGCACAACACTGGCTATATGGGATGTCTCTCCCTGTCTCTTTCGTCTCTCCCTGTTTCTCCCTGTCTCTCCCTGTCTTTTCCGTCTCTCCCTGTCTCTCCCTGTCTCTCCCTGTCTCTCCCTGTTTCTTCATGTCTCTTCATGTCTCTCCCTGTCTCTTCATATCCTTCCCTGTCTCTCCCTGTCTTTTCATGTCTCTTTATATCTCTCCCTGTCTCTCCCCCCCCCCCCTCTCTCTCTCTCTCTCTCTCTCTCTCTCTCTCTCTCTC